CAAAAATCTTGGAACCAACCCCAAACCTATATTTTCATGTACATATTTATTTCCCATAAACGGACGCTCTAATAAACGGACGCGGACACTATTTTTCTTTACATAACGGGCAAAAATTTCTAATAAACGGACGCGTAGGTAACTAAACGCACACATCAAAGTAATCTGTAATAGATATTTACCGACATGTGTTCGGGGATTCCTCGTTTTACGAGTTCCGCTTGTTAACGAATCCCAAAACATTAGTACATAGTTATTATTAGTTTGTTCGTTTCGGTGTAACGTGCGTTGAAATGGCTTCCAAGGTGGTAAAGAAAAAGATGCTTATGTTAAAGGAGAAAATGGAAATAGTGTGTTTATTAGATAAAGAAAAGTTGTCAGTTCGTGATATTGCTAAAAAATTTAAAATCGGGAAAACACAAGCGGCAAAAATAGTCAAAGATAAAGAAAAGATTCGAAAGAAATGGCAGTCTGGAGTCAGTGTAAAAACGAAGAAAAACTTTTTGAGTAGTGAGGGTTCAAAGATCGACAAAGCCTGTTTCGAATGGTTTGTGAAAGCTAAAAATCAAAATATTGCCGCATCAGGATCATTCGTAAAGAAAAAAGCAAAAGAAATTGCAGAAAAATTAGGAGTGAGTACCTTTAAAGCGTCTGATGGGTGGTTACAAAAGTGGCGTTTGAGAAATAATGTTGCATTTAAGTGTATCTCCGGAGAAGCAGCAGATGTAAATGAAGAGGGCATTAATGAATTTATGAAAAAATTACCGACCTTCTTACTAGGCTATCGACCAGAGGACATTTTCAACGCAGATGAAAGTGGGCTCTTTTTTGAATCTGAGTCCAATATCATCTGCTCCGATACTAGTGAACTTAGACTTGTGTTGGTAGATGCTAGGATTTCATTAATAGTATTCTGCCTAGTTATGATACCAACCACCACAGGAGGATCCGCAAAATACTCCGCTAGAGCAGCAGCATCAAGAGTAGGTAGATCTGTGGGAGACTCTATAACAACAATTACCGCATTGTTTTCCAAAATGTCTTATGAGTGGCTCCAGACAACCTCTGACAGTAGTGCAATCTTTTAGCGTTTTTGCATTGATGATTACAACGGTTGCGCAGCACATGATTATATTCCCGATTGGCACCAGAAGGGCTACGTTTGAACAATAACTTAGCACGATACCTCTGTTATTATGCAACTTTTGTTAAAACATTTTTAAAGAAGGTTATTAAACCTTCTTTTGAGATGTTAGGACTCCATGAAAATAAAATCACAAGACCGTAAACACCTGTATATCGTGCTACATGCAACGACTTTTTCGGTCGTTCTTACACCAAAGAATATTCTAAATCAAATCGGAACGTCATCGATCTACGACCATAAGTGTACAAGGGTCAACACTTTCTCCGGTGCCAAATTATTGTAAATTATTAATTAAAGCATCTGCTTTTCAATCCATTAAATCGATTTTAGAAATCTCATTTAGATCTTGAGATATAAATTGTTGAAATAAACGAGTTTTTAAACAACTTTAAGTTTTATAAGTATTTTGGTATTAAATTTAAAAATTTATGAATGATTTATTTCATGGCAAATTTTAATGCAATTATTTAAATAACTAAAGTGTCTTTTTTTCAACTCTTTAAACCAACTTTAGAAATCTCATTTAGATCTTGAGATAAACATTTTTGAAGTAAACGAGTTTTTTGCAACTGCAAGTTTTACAATTATTTTTGTATTAACTCCAAAAATTCCTGAATAAGCCGGCAAATTTTAATGAAATTATTTAAATAATTAAAGTGTCTACTTTTCAACACTTCAAACCGATTTTAGAAATCTCATTTAGATCTTGAGATAAACATTTTTGAAGTAAACGAGTTTTTTAGCAACTGCAAGTTTTACAATTATTTTGGTATTATTAAATTCAAAAATTCTTGAATAAGCCATTTCATGGAAAATTTTAATGAAATTATTTAAATAGCTAAAGTGTCTATTTTTCAACACTTCAAACCGCTTTTAGTAATCTCATTTAGATCTTGAGATAAACATTTTTGAAGTAAATGAGTTTTTTAGCAACTGCAAGTTTTACAATTATTTTGGTATTAAAGTAAAAAATTCCTGAATAAGCCATTTCATGGAAAATTTTAATGAAATTATTTAAATAACTAAAGTGTCTACTTTTCAACACTTCAAACCGATTTTAGAAATCTCATTTAGATCTTGAGATAAACATTTTTGAAGTAAACGAGTTTTTTAGCAAC